TGACCTCCTTTTCTCTCCTGGTTCTTCTTTCCCTCCTCCTTTCCCTACTTCTCTTTCTCTTTTCCTCCTCCTCCTCCCCATCTAAGACAACAGCAAATTTGACACTTAGATTGAGTGCTCCTTGCATGTAGGGACCATGTCCTCTTTTGGATATTGTTTTTGTCATCTGGTATGTAATCTGCAGCTATTGGATGCAGTGGCATGAGCACATCATGCATCAATACCAGCAGGATGATTTTCAGAGTCCTTGGATGTAAAAAGGGTTCACCCACTTCCTAGTTAATGACTGTAATTCCTAGGGCTGCTATGCTCTTTTCTATATTTATATAAAGCAAAATAAAGAACCAAGCAATATTTAGAAACTCACAGAGGCCAACAGCCTGTTTTGTACTTAGTCAAGTTTATATTATCCAATTTAATAATGCAGCAGGTAGAGAAATGTATGAATTTGGTTGGATGGAGCTCATATGATTTGGATGCAAGTTTCTGTTTGCTTAATGGGATTTTAGACCTTTATACTTTTATACAACCCATATATTTTATTAATTTATCTTTATTATTTAAGTACCTTATAACTGGCATAACAAACACATTAAGTCTTGACTATGGTTAATCAGGATCAGAGTCATTAATCCTATGGGCCAATTGCTGTAGAACTAGTGGTATCTTCATGAAATGAGAAATTATAAGAGCTGTAGTGTGTCTGTTAAGTGGGATAAATTACCATGTATATCTGTGAGTTTGAAATGACAGAGGTGTGTGTGTGTACATTTGTGTGTTAATAGGATGGGTCACTTCACAAGGACTAAGAGTGTAATGTTCATGAAAATTCTGGGTGATGCTTACATTGGGATTTTGTCTTAGTTTCAGGATCTTCATTTCTCTAAGTAAGCTACATTACTAAAGGTATTTTCCAGGTATCTTTTAACTTCCTTTGACTGGCTAAGTAACTTAAGCAATACCATACATTTGGTCCCATGAAAGGTCCCAGAAGCCAGGGATTTTTATTTACAGGTTTTAGATGTTCTTATTTAATAATTACATATGAGCTCCAATTGAGAACATAAGCATCCTCTAATACAGGACATATATGTCCCTGTTTAATGCATATCTATGTTAATTTCTGTATTGTATCATAGTTTACAAAATGGTATCATAGACATTATCTCATTAAATTCTTATAAAAACCCTGTGAAATGAAAGCAGAGAGTAGGTATTATTTCCATATTATGTGAAGTGTAGTTTTTGGAGTATTTTATAGGCTATAAATAGGGTAACCATACATTCTGCTTTGTCTGGGACAACCCAAAATTATGTTGTCCTGATGTAATTATTAGCATCTCCTTTCTCTCTCAATATTACCCCAGTTTGGGTGGCAGACATTATGGTCTCATCCAATCTATAAATCGCTTTTATTTATATTAGGCTTTCAAAGTTCATGTGGTCTGTGCAAGGCAAGGTGAGAGCCCATGATAGTAAGAAATACTCAGAGCTGTGGCCTGGTTAGGGACCTGTGCTGCAAATCCAAGGTACAAGTCTCCTAGTTGTATATCCTTGTGTTAATTACTGCCACCTAATAAGTTCTATATAATCATTTATTGTGTTTGCTGCTTGATAACATGGCTTCTCATCATGGGCATCTTTTTGTTGTCCAGATAGAAGTCTCTCTGATACCACCTAAGATGGCTCAAAAAACACATTCCTTGTCCTTGTCCATCTGAAGAATCCAGCTCTTTTCCCTCCCTCTAGAAGGACTTCTGCTGTTCTCCTCATAAACCAGCAGTGATTTCAGCTTCTGTGGTTCACTGACACACATCTCACTTTTGCCCCCGTGCTGACCTTGAAGTCATAGAATCTGAAGCCTGGCTACTATTCACAGACACCTGGACTCTTGTCAAGGCCAGGTTCCAACCTGAGGTTCAGATTGACATTGGTACCAAACATGGATGATTTACTTCCAAACTGGAAACTTCAACTAAGGAAAGAAAATTCCAAAATCCCAAGGTGTTTCAGGTGAAAAGAGAGCCTTGGAGAGAGTCATCAATGGCCTCACTCACATACATAAATATTACATAGCACCACCAGGTAGTCTTAAAGGGGCAAGTTGAAGATTCTTCAGGATCCTGGAGTTCTCAATTACTCCAAACCTCAGGGGGTTATCTGGGGCAAGAAGAATAAATGTTTCTTTAGAAAAAGGTCTCAACATTAGAACTAGATGAGCTCTGAATCGGTTTTGCTATTTACCAGTGCAGGATGTTGAGAAATTTTCTCCATTTCCCTAAACTCCAATTCTCTCAATCTGTAGGATGAAACTGTTAAGTAATGTTTACGTTTCCCTCTTACACTAGTTGTAAGAAATGAGTGAGACAATAAATGTAGTATTTAGCATAACACCTGGAATAAAAGTGTTCATTGGATTTTTGTATAATGTATTATAGAGATTATGGGATTGTTTTATTCTACTTTATTACTCTGCTGTATGTTAGCAGGGGTCATTAAGGAGGACTTGACCAAATGGTTTTAATTAATCTCCTGGACTGTCCTGTGCTGTGGGGCTAATGGCTTCTACCAGGAAGTAGTGACTGTAGTTCTAGAAGCCACTGGCAGAGAGAACTTGTGAATTCCTCTGTGGAAGTGCAGGACATTCTCCATCTTTAGGCTCACTGTTGCCTGGCCCTAAGCTGTGTGTACTCTCAGTTAACACAAAGACTTTGGAGATGCAGACAGGAGACAGGAAGGAGCAACTCAGGTTAAGAGGAAGACAACCTGTGTTTCACCCAATTTATTCAAATGCCCTTTAAGCTGACAAACTTCTTACCCAGGGAATTCTCTGTAAGGCTGTTTGGGCTATATAATAGGGGCTGTGTGGGCTAATAGGCAGGAGGAGGTGAAATAAGCAAGCGGATGGGTGTCTTAGGGGGAGAAATATATTCTTGACAGATTAGGTAGAAGGTGTGAGGTACACAGAAAGCCACAATTGCCAGTAATGGAACTGCTGCAAAAGTAATGATACTCTGATAAAGAAATTTCAAATATAGAAGCATGCTTTATTTCACTCAGAATGTTTCATTGTTAGAGTGCCTTCCTTTTTTGCTCCCCATGCGAAACTGGGCAAGTCTCCTTCAGATACATTTCATGAGAAGGAGGCTTTGATTTGCTTGGCTGTATTCAGGTGGCTCCTCTTTCAATGGCAACTGAGACTGGAAACACTTCAAGAAATCATCTGCTTTACTCTAACAGAAAAAGTAGCTGCAATAGTAGAGAAAAAATATAGTATTTCTACCCCTTTTGAACTATTACCAACCCTCACAATGTGATAAATTGTAATTAACATATGTATGGGTTAAAGTTTTATTTTGGTATATATCTTTCATAGTCTCTGTGTCAAATGCATTTCCCAGTCTTTCTTTGCCATAGTTGGTGGGAATTAATCAGCAGCTCTGGATGCTACAGGGGAATTAGGGGATTAGTCTATGAGTAAATGGATGCAGCCAGATAAAATGCAATGGGAAAAATGGACAATCTGAGGAGCAGTTCAGAGAAACCTTTCCAGATATAAATGTCTTTCTAGTTTCACAGCATATTTTATTTTCATTTCTTTTAACATATTCTTTAATTAAAAATAATGTAACTTTGGGGGGGCAGGGGAGAAGGGCTGTTATAGTGACTCTGAACAGTGATAAGTGATGACAGCACTATCACATGGCATAGAGTCCTCATTGTACAACACAGACAAGGTGAGGGAAGGGCAGCTGACCTAGAATATGTTAAGTCTCGTGGCTTAGCACTAAGTAGGAACTTAGTGAATGTTTTGGATGATTTTATAATGCAAGCAATTGCTGGCTTGGTTTCTTACAAGTACAATCTTGTACCCAAAGATATTTGCAGGTTAAGAATGCAGGACTGCCAGTTTGCAGTGGCAGTTTTTAAATCCTGGAGTTAAAAAAAAAGAACTTGATTGTTTCCCAAACAGAATACCTCCATGCTGCTTGCAGGGTGATACTCCCCTCTCCCACAGGAGCCTAACCTGCTTTCTGCTGGTCCTACCAGAGTACTAAGAGGAGAAAGGGAAGTCAAAGCTTTGAGAAGTCAGTGAGAGGGCAACTATACTCAGTCCTCCAAATTACATTTGTTCATCCATAGCCGCAACCCAGGTGCTCCACAGGCAGGCAAATGTGGGCTGAGAATGTTGGCTGTTGGCTGTACTTACAAGGAGTAGGGGTCAGGGCAAACCTGGCAGCAGGAGGCAAGGGACCACAGAGCTCAGAGTAAGGAAAGAAAGCTCTTCCTTAAAGGTAATCTGTGGTCAGATGACCCTGCTATTAAGTTGAGTGAATTTTCAGTGTTCACATCATTTATGAGTTGCTACAGTAGTGAAATTAAGAGAATCCAGAAATCTAGATATACTAGCAGAAGGAAATGATTGGGGAAAATTATGATGAATAGCCACAGTGGTGTGTTCTATAATATACAGGACAGCTCATAAACAGAGCTCATGAGTTCTTACGGTCAAGGACTGATATCATCTTAAGTGTCAGTAAAATTATTTAGAAATTTTAAAAAATATTTTAGCTTGAAATAATATTATGTAATAGTGCAGGGTTATTCACATGGACTCAATATTTCTTTGATTTTATTTTCTTTATATATTTTTTTTAATTTTAATTGTTGTTCCAGTATAGCTTTCTGTTTTTTACTCCCATCCCCACCCACCCCCCATCCCCACCTCCCTCCCATTTCCACCCCCCCCTAGTTTTTGTCCATGTGTCCTTTATACTTGTTCCTGTAAACCCTTCCCCTTTTCCCTTGAAATTCCCTTCCCTCTCTCCTCTGGTCCCATAGACTCAATTTTTAATCAAACTAAAATAAGAAGTTTAGATATACAGATGTATAAGATTAGTTATTTAATTGATAAATTAAAATCTTGATCAATTTTGGTCCATGCCATTAGCAAAGTTAAAAGAATGTACAACATATGGAAAAGAATTGGCATTCTCATGCATCAGGCACAGTAGGCCTTCCTGGAGGGTAATCTGGTAACATGTGCTAGAAATCTCACAATTATACTGGCCTCTAACCCAACATTCCTACATTTACAAACTCACTCCAAGGACATAACCAATGATGCATGTGAAAAGATTTATCTGTAAAGACAATTCATTTTGGAAATTATTTATAATAGAAAAAACATGGGAACAACCAACATGCCAGTGGCAGGGAGTGATTTAATGAGGTCTGTAGTGATGGGACACCAGGAATCCATTGCAAGTGAGGCTATAGAGTGATATCTAGTGATCTGAGAAATGTTTGTGAACAAGTGACACATAAAACAGGCAGCTTTTAAAAGAGCATTTTCAATATGATCACCTAAAAATATATAGGTATACTTACAAATGTCTTAAGAGAATCTTAAAGGATCTATACCAGAATATTGATGTATAATTTTATTTATTTCCTAAACTTCCAAAGTATTCTTCAGGAATCTCTATTACTTTGTAATCATAAAATTACAATTGAAAATTAAAAACATTGTGTATTGCATTATTTGCACATACTCAAGATAGAAAAATTGTGTCAGAGTCCAAGTATATAACAATCTAAGTTTAAAAAAAATACTGGGGCAGTAAAATATCTTTATTTTGTAACTTCTTATTCTTTTTATTTGTAACTGTCCATTTTTTACCTAATGTATGCTTTTATTTAATGCTAATAATGTATATGTAGTAAAAGATCTTTAATATCCAAGCAGCTTCTAAATGTTTATGCATTGACAAAGAGATATCAGCTGTTTGCATGTGTTTACTAAAAGAGCTAATAACCCATAGAACATAACTAGGCTCCATCTTTCTCATGCTTCCATCCAATACCTACAGGCACCTGCATGATAGTGAGGGGCAGAGGGCAAGTCGGGTCCCTTTTTAAGGGGGTACACAAGGGGAATCCCAGGCAGTGGGGGATGCCACTGAGGTACACCTTCCTATGGGGACAAAGAGTGGAGGTGAAGTAGAAAAACAGATCCTGGAACAGGCTTCCCAACGGAGTGCCATGGCAGGGGTGGGGAGCAATCAGGATGACTCCAGAGATAAACTGAAAGCTGTACCTATGCACTATTCATTAAACTCAAGAAACAGCACTTTCTTCTTTCACTGCTGGACAAGAGTTTGGATTTTTCTTGTTGTACTTTGTACTTTTCAATCCACAGTATTTATTGAGAGCCCATTCTGTGCAGAAGACTATAATAAATACTGAGACAGATATAAAGATGGGTGTGATAAGGCCCCTGCCCTCAGACACTAACAATCTAGTCAGGTTGTTATGGCAAAGCCTCACACAATAGAGATCATATTAAAATAGGTTACATGTTTCTCTCATTTCTCTAAATCTCCCTCAATGACTAGCAGAAAGGTATTTTAATGCTAAATGCCAATATTATTTGATGCATCTTAATTATTTACTGCTCCAAAAAATACTCAGTAGTTTTAATGATTCTTAAATTTATTATACCCAGTATTTTCCTGACACGAATATTTGTCTTAATACTTCATGATTACACGATCTTTCTATTCATTTCATTAATACAAACACTTTACAAGAGTTATGTGCTTCAACAGATGTCTAGGTATAAAATACCTCCAGCAATGTTAAATTATTTTACCAAACCCAACATCTAATAAGAAACTTCTTGTCTTCCATTCATTTTACCTGGTTTTTAGACCAAAGTTGAAGGATATATGTATGTTAACACCATTCCCCACCCCAATCACACAATTCAACATCATCTTTCTGAGCTAAGCAGAAAATATATACACTTCCCATTTTACTCACTTGAGACAATACAGACATTTTGGTACTCATATGTCATTGAATTCATTTGGTTCTTTGAATACATGGGCTTCAAATTCCATCTGGCTCTGTAAAATGAAATGCTCAAAATTAGTACAGACTTCCAAAAAGAGCAGAACAAAACAAAATATTCTGTATGTCTTCTTTGAAGAGAAACAAGATAGCAGAGGAAGAATGGGATCAAGAACTTGGGATGCTCATGAGTTTTTCTTTCAATCACTGATAGTGACAGTACAGACAATATTCCAAGCACAATACTTGATATGGGGTCACAAAGCTGAGCAAGACCACATGACTCAGCACTCCAGGAGCCTCCAGACTAGTAGCAGAGGCTGTCCAGAAACTGATGAGCTTAATTCACTGCACTGAAGGTTTTAATAAAGTAAATACACCGTAGATTATGGGAGGCCAGGAGGACTCATTAGGTCATAGCCTGACTAGGGCAGGTAGCAGAGGTGCTTCCTAGAGCAGGAGAAGCTGGCCCAAAAGCTGAGGGTGGGGAAGGAATGTGGTGCAGTGAGACAAGAATCCAAAAGCTGAATGCTTGGGATTTATTAACAAGGAGGGTGTGGTGATCTCAGCAAGAGCAGCTTCAGGAGTGGACAGGAAGAAGTATAGTGGACAGGTAGTATAGGTTGCACATGTGAACAATTCCCTTAAGATACTTGACTGTTAAAAAGAAAGCCATTGGACAGGACATAGAGGTAGCTGTGAAATTAAGGTAATTCCCTTACTTTCTTTCCTTCCTTTTTCCCTTTCTTCCTCCTTTGCTCCCTCTTTCTTCCCTCCCTCCTTCCCTCCCTTCTCCTTTTCTTTTCTATTTTCTTCTTTTGCAGACGGAACATTCTTCTTCCCCATTTTGACTTAGCTGACTATTTGTCCTTAAAACCTAGCCTTCCTTTTCCAAACAGCCATTTACCAGCCATTTGAAACAGCCAGTTTAGATGCCCTCTTTGTGACTACCACAATATTCTATGCATATCTCTATGGACTCCAGAACCCGGGTACTCCATAATTGTTGCATGAACTTGAACAATTCGCCTAAACTTTGCAAGCCTCAGTTTCCTTATCTGTAAAATGATAATAATAATAATACTTCATAAAGTTGTTGGGGGAATTAAATGAGGCAATACAGGGCATAGTGCTTAGGACAGTGCCTAAGATAGATAAAGCCCTGCACAAGTCATTGACTATTATTATAACATTTATCACACTGTTGAATAATAATTTTCATGTTTGTTTTTCCCAGAAAAATATTAGCCCTTGATCATTGTCTTTGAGCCTTCCTTCTGTGCTTCTAGCCCCCATTAATCTTCAATAATTATTTCTTATATAAATGAATGAATTAATAAATGAAAAACACAGCATTGGACTACCATAGTACTATAAGATGATGCATCAGTGGGCTTTCTCTTTTTAGCAGCTATTCTCAGTGGGTGAGGGTGATTCATCTGATGCATCACTCACCAAACCAAGAAGTCTTAGCTTGCTGATCCTCATTATATTTTGGCCACTGTTCAGTGGAAATAATATTTATTTACCTTTGGGTCAGGTAGGCATGGCCCAAAAGCTTCCAGCAGAAGAGTCTCTTCCCTCACAGCTTGTTCATAGTCTGAGAAGGACAATTTCCCATCATGGTCATGATCCTGGGGGTGACCAGACATATGTTAGTCAACACGTAAAATACTTATCACAAATACATCTGTCTTTTCATGGACAAGTATTAATAGAAAAAAGGTGTTAGAAAATAAGAGACTAAATGGTGAAATTGAGAAGAACTTTTAATATTATAATAAAAGAACATAATCAAAGTGTTTGATTTCACCAAGCAGGAACCTGATAGTTACTATAATTTGAATTATTTTTATCCTACATCTAGCCTGAAAATTTTACTATAAAACTCTAAATTATTCATACTGACCATTTTCTTAAGTGTTATTTCAACCAAATCTTTAATTCCTTCATCAGGGTCTTCTTCAGATGGCTGTTTGAGAAGGCTGTTCTTCAACATATGGAACATTTCCTCCTTTGAAATGAATCCATCACCATTCAAATCAAACACTTCAAAGCAATCTTTAAAAAAAATAGCCAATTATGAATTTGATATTATCATTAAGGTACTAGTTGCTCTGATCAAGTTTTCAAGGGCAAGGTCTACATTGTTGATGTTCTTATCAACCCCGAAGGCCTTAACACAATCTAATCTCCATAACAAATACTTAATGTACACTTGTTGAATATATGCAACAATCTTTAGAAAGATTTTTTGTTACACTCAGCTACAGAAAAGCATGACAAGAAACAGGACCTTCAACATTTTCATTTTGAAACTCTTGGAAAACTGATTGAAATATTATTCTTAAACAGTTTATCAAAATTATGAATTAACTAATTATTAGAATACTAGAATCAATATTCCCTACTTTATGGTTATAATGCAAGTAATTAAATATGTAAAATCTTAATACCTTGATATGTAAATGCATATATACATGATTAGCACGTATATAATATGCCTTGCAGTCTTACTTGACATGAATTATCCTTCAAAACTCTCTTGATTTTCCTTTTATTTTTTTCAACCTTTATCATTGACTTGAATTTGCACCATAAAAGACACTAATGGAAATTCAAACCAAGCAACCAACAGACAACCTACTTCACTGGCTGGGTTGGAGGACATCAATTTAAATTCCTTAGATATATGAATCATAATGTATAAACCAGTAGAATAACCTAAAATCTTACATTTCATTTTTTCTTCCAAAGTTCCTCGAAGAAACAGTGATAATCCATAAACCCACTCTGATACGTTTATACTACCATCGTTGTCTTTATCAAAACCTCGAAATACTAAAAAGAAAGAAAAGTACAATATAATATGTGTGCTGCATCTTTAATCTCAGTAATGTACTACATTGGTACTACTCACCTTTAAAATTTAAAGAAAACTTCAGGTTCAACATTCTCATTTGACAAAGGAAGAAATTAAGGCATCATAAAATTGGAAAAGTTTTTTATTTAAACTTTCACATTTTGCCCTGGATGGTGTGGCTCAGCAGATTGAGCACTGACCCGTGAACCAAAAGGTCACTGGTTCAGTTCCAGGTCAGGGCACATGCCTGGGTTGCTGGCCAGGTCCCCAGTTGGGGCATGCAGCAGGCAACTATTTGATGTTTTTCTTCCTCTTTTTGTCTTTCCTTTCCCTTCTTTAGTGTCTAAAATTAAATAAATAAAATCTTTAAAAAATTAAACATTCACATTTTCCCCTCATAATTTGTGGGAATAAAGTAAATTCAGAATATCTAAATATATTAATCACTAATTAGTAATATACACATGTAACAAAAGTATAAAATTATATATTTTATAATTATATATTTTATAATTTTATACTTTTGTTACTCAACAAATATAATGCTATTACATGATAGCCTGGACTATTTCTTAATTCTTATTGAAATACTTCCAATGCAATCTTAAATGTCATATTAAAACTATTTTTATTATTACTTTTAGTAAGTAAAAACAGAAATATTTAAGGTTTTCTAATAAAAAGTAAGGGAAACCTAATTTTTCAAGCTGATTTTGTCTTCTTAAATATACAAAATAGAGTGGATACTAGTTCTGTCCCTATGATATGTTCTTGAATATAAAAATTTAAATTTTACATTCATATGAAACTAGAAATATAGAACATTAAGCTTTTAACCAACAGCATGTCCAAATTCTAAACTTGTTTTTTCAGTTATGGTGGATTTTCATGTCTTCTTACCTCTGTCCATAATCATGTCATCTGTCATTCCAAACGTCACGTGCAAAATGTTTCGAAAAGCATTGCGATCCAGTCCAGTGACCACACCTTGCCGCTTTGTTACATCTCCCATCAATTTATAAAAAAGATTTATAAGACATTTCACTTCAAATTTATTAACTGTGAAAGAATTAAATTAAGATATGACAAAATGTATTTTAATTTTTACTTTCTAACTTAAATTTTACATTAATGAATTTATAGACAAAAACTAGCAAGCCATCAAACATGTTGCTGTTAAGAGAAGACAATTCTGTTTTGAGATTCATGACTCTTAATAAAGGATGGCTACTACAGATGACTCTCCACTAAATCAAGAGAAAAAGCCTTCCCTCCCATATTAAACAGATGCAAGCTCAGTCAAACTTAGGACAAAAGTTAACATTATCCAAGTTACCTGAATAATGACTGTGGGGTCAGATTCCAAACTTTATAAGGCAGTAGAGATATGTATGGTCCAAAGTAAGCGTGGTAATGTTCAGGAATGGTAACATTTCCTTCAGGATTTTGATCATAGTCATTTGTGAGATTTGTAACTTAACATTTCCCTAGAAATGGATGGCAGGCTCCTGAAAGCTGAGCAACAATTTTTACCTCATCTTAGCCTTAGTAAATTCATAAGCCAGATTTTGGAAATAAAAATCACCTATTTTCCAATAAAAAAGTGTGTAAGCACATTTTAGCACTCTTGTGGTTCTTGCTGCAGATGATATGAAAATTAACATGCAACTATTCAGTAGCAGTTTGGATGAAGGCAATTTTATTTTTAATCCTCACCTGAAAATAAGTTAATTTATTATAGAGAGGAAAGGAGGGAGTGATGTGAAAGAGAAACATTGATCAGTTGCCTCCTGTATGCACCTGACCAGGGATCAAACCCCAAAGCTAGGTATGTGCCCTAGGGAATGCAACCTGCAACCTTCTGTGTACAGGACAACTCTCTAACAACTGAGCCACCTGACCAGGTTGGGTGAAGGCAATTTTTATTGAAAAAATATACACACATCTTTACATTTTTCCACATACATAATTGTATAAAGGGTGGTGTTTATAAATACTGAGCTAATTATTTGTGTTCCAATCCCCATTTGAGATATGCAAGTGGAAGGGTTATTGTCTAGCACTGAGAACATAAAAGTGAGTTTAAATATGAATTATAGGCTTAAAAACAAGGAAAAACTGTGTGCATATAAAAGAAAACAGAACACAGAAATGAAGAAATCACTTCTGGTCCTATAGGTCATGACAGGTGAGAGTAATTTCTGGTTTGGGTACCGGAATGTAAGGGAAATATCCAAAACTCTAAAAAACAAATGAATTAGTAAGTAAATTAAATAGCAGACAAGAATATAATGATTATAATTTTTAAAAGAGCTGCTAGTTGCTGTAGAAAACACACAAATGCTATGTAATCTAGTTCCACTTCTGGGTGAATATTCAAAAGACTGTTGCGCGTGGGTCACCGGCCAGCAGTGACCACGGAACGCTGTGGATGGCTCGACGATAAACACGTGAGAAAAAACAACACATGCACAGAGACAGACTAGTTTCTGTGGGGAAGTAGGGACAGAATGGCCACCCCCCCTAGTGGGGAGCGCACTGATTTACCGTCCATCCCTGCTTTTATTGGGCTCATTTTGCATAATAATTCAGGTAAAGTACAGTACTCATTCGGGGGAAGCAAGGAACTATAGAAAACAAAGAACTCTGCCCGTCTATTGAGTTGGGGTCAAAGAGCTGTAAGACTGACGAACAAACTAACTTCCTCCTAAGACCCTTCTCATTCAACTGAGAGCATTCTAAACAAAGAAGGTTTCACAGTAATTTACATGTTCTTTCTTAGGCCTGATCACCCTGGGGAATCCGCACTTCTCAGTACCGAGCTGCACCACCCTGTCATTGTTTTAGGCTTAGGTGGAGCAAGGGAACTAGGTAACCAAGAGATAAGGAGATTTTCTCCCAGGCGCTGAGAACTCAGGCTATGTCAAAGCCGAGGAGCGAGGGTCCATCACCCCCTTTTGTTGCAGCCCCCCAAGTCCTTCTTTTGGGGGGCCTCCCAAAGTGATCGTGTCTGGCTTAGGTCGTTCCCCCCGTGGGGAATCTTATCCGTCTTTGGCTAACCGACCAAGCTTTTGGGGTTTCAGTCATGAATAAAGCAGCAGAAGCAGCATTCCTGCCAGGAAGATAAGCTTTTGTCTCCTTGCTGGCTTACAGTTCCAAGGGCATTCCCTTAGCTTTAGCTAGGCGGGGGTTTCAGCTTCTGATACCAGTCAGGGTGGTTCCCAACAAAAGACATGAATACAGGGACCCAGATACTTGAGCACCAGTGCTCACTAGCACTGTTATTCACAGTAGCCAGAAGTGTAAGCAACTGAAAGGTAGTATATGCATACGGTGGAATGTTATTCAGCTTTAAAAAGGAAGGATATTTTGACAATGCTATAACATGGATAAACCTCAAAAACACTGTGGTGAGTGAAATAAGCCAAGCAAAAAAAAAAAAAAACAAAAGACAAATATTGTATGATTTCACTTTTATGATATACCTAGAGTGGTAAAATTCATGGAGGCAAAAAGTAGAATGGTTGTTGCCAGAGCTTTGGAGAAAGGGAAAGTGGGTAGTTATCCTATGGGTAAAATGGGTATAGAGTTTCAGTTGGAAAATGTGTTAAAGTTCTGGAGATGAAAAGTGGTAAGAATTGTGCAACTATTTCAATGAACTCAATGCCACAAAGCTGTACACTTAACATGCTTAAAATAGTAAATTTTAACCACAATTTAAAAAGCTGTAAAAATAAAAATGTTGTTGGTTGGGAAGAAAAGTCCGCATAAAGAATGATTACTCAAAATCCCCTTTGCTAGCATGTCATGTTTCATCTTTTCCATTTCAACTGAAATAAAAATTAAAGAATATCAGCTTAATATTTTGAGCAACTGGTGAGGCTCAGTTGTTTGGAGTATTGTCCTGTATACTGAAAGATTGTGGGTTCGATTCCTAGCCAGGGCACATGCATAGATTGTGGGTTTTGTCCTGTCAGGGCACATAAAAAAGGGAAAAGATCAATGTTTCTGTCTTGCATAGATATTTCTCTTCCCTCCTCTCTCCCTGCCCTCCCTTCTCTTTCTCTCTCTCTCTCTCTCAAAAAAAAAAAGAATATTAGGTAAATTTATTACCCAAATAATCCAAGATTAGGCAAAAAAAAATGTTTCTTGCTAAAATGTTTCCTAAATTCCAGAATACAATACTAAATAATTCAAGGGTGGTTTTCCTTTTTTGGGGGGGTTGGTTTTTTTGTTCTTCAGATCATTATCTGTAGAATGGTGGATTAATTAGATGATCACTTAAAATACTTCCCTCTTTTCTGATTCCACACAATTTATTCATTTCATCCTAGTAGGATTATCATCTGATTACTGAAAGAAAGTATGACTTTAGGGGAAAGGTCCTTTATTTGAAGAAATTTAAAATTATTATAAGTCCATGACTTGTAACTATTTCTATTATATTATCTAGTTTTTTAAGTCTCGCTTTAAAATTTTTATGTAAGTACACAAAGCAAAAGGCTTTCTCCTACCATGTTTTCCTTATCTTTTAATACACTCACCTTCTGATTGTTCACAGAATGTCTGCAATACTTTGCAAACTTACTGAACATGGTGTGAATTAAATTCAGTATTGTATATTGAAGTTATTTTTTTTATTTTAATCATTGTTCAAATACAGTTTTCTCCTTTTTACTCCCAATCCAGTCCCCCCTCCCACCCTCCCCACTTCCCTCCCATTATTGAAGTTATTTTTTACTCAAAATGTTTACTAGATGTTTTTAGAAGGCTGGTCTTCTCCAAGAAATGCAAGTATTTTAAGAAAACAACAGAATAAAACTCTCATCAGATTATAATAATCATAATAATGCCTTATAGGATGGCTTTTTTCTAAGTTTAAGATGCTTATACACACTCCAGCTTTTATTTATAGCACCACTCCACTAAAAGAGCCTTTCTTACCACTCATTGCATTAGATGCTAAATACAATTAAAAGGCACTAGGATCCCATAATCTCTAGAACTACATTAAAACATATTTATTCCTCCTTTTTTCCACACTGGGGTTGGTTTTGAGATTATGACCTCTTCTACTTCCTCGAGTGGCCAATACTTTTGCAATCAGCCCACAATTTATTAGCTTGTTCATTTGACAACATCTTTTTCACCTAAACCACATTCTTAGCTTCCTGGCCTAGGAAGAATTCTGTTTTCAGTTTGAATATAATTCTAGAGTTGCTTATGCAGTTCTAGAACCACCTTTCAGAATGTGTGATTGGAACAGGCATCTTTAGTAACTACTCATCTTGTCACCTGCAAAGTCTTCTTTAGGATGCAATCCCACCAGCAACTGGAAAGTGAAAGTATAGGAGGGAACAGATTATCATGTGTTTGGCTTTGGTGAGCTCTTTGGTTCCACTTTCCTCCTTGCTCCGCTACAAGTTTCTTTCCTAAGGGTCATTGATAACCATTTACCCTTTGGATTTCTTGATAAGTTTCCAGGACTTGGACACTGCCAGTTTATTTGCTCTAGAAAGCTAGAATGCAGGTGCATATTGGTTATACTACTTTTCTTGATTCCATGGTTTTTTTTGTATTTATTGTATGCTTATGTCTGAGGCTAAAACCACATGTGTCTCGTAGATATATATTATATATATAATCACGTTTCTATAAGTAAAGGTAAATTAAGAAGAGCGTTTGAAAAACAAGTAGGTGTACTTGTGAGAGAGCAGTAGTGGATGCCTATACACCTGGATACTGATCCTTACAATCATTAATAGGCCTGGGTGTCCGCCCCCAAAAGCTAACACCTGGGTATTCTCTTCCACGCTTCTCTTTAGCGGTGGGAATGGAGGGGCCTCCACCAGCCCTAGAACTGGAGGTGGGAAGCAGGTTGATCAGAGGATTTTAGAACCGGGTAGAACACGAAACCTGAACCAGGAGCTTCTGGTAGTCTAGAACTTCATTCTTACTTACAGTGCTTGCAGTTTTTAGTTAAGGTGTCCGTCAACTTCTGCAGCTTCTTGCGGTTCATGCCGCGCACTCAGGAAAGCTGGCCGCAGCTGGTGTCCAGCGGCGCGCGGCTGCCCCGACGCTCACAAGCCCTAGGCCTGGGTAAAGCTGCCGGTTCTCCATCGCCCTGCGTGTGCTCACCCTAACACACAAAGTGGCCATGACAACGGCTTGGCTAGCCGCTGATTGGTTCTCTGGCGCGCGCTGTGCGTGGGCCGCCCAAACTCAGAATGTGACCATGGCAACAGCAGGGCCCGGCTCCTTTGCTCCAGGGTCCTGGGGCGTGCAATCTCACTTGGAGGTTCCTGGCTAGGCACATTTGTGACTGTGTTTTGGTTAACGTCGGAATATTCATTGTTTAGTTGTTACTGTCTTTTGGGTTCACAGCCCCTTCAATGGACTGCCCTGTCAATCATCAGGTCTAAAAACACGTTGTGCACGAATGGTAAGTGTTGCACTAAGACAGGCAAAGCTCTTCAGAGAGATTTGGGGGAAGTTGGAGGAGATTCGAGAATTAGCATGTGTGTTATCCAGAGAATTGTTTTATGGGATACAGAAGGGTGAGAACTTGGAAGAGATTTTTTTCTCTCCCGCTCCCCACCCATTCATTTTTGAAGGAGGGGTTGGACTGTCAGTGGAATCTGGGGAAAGCCACTGTCAACGTCTAAGCTAGTCAAAAGAGTCAGCCTGCCTAATGAACAGGCTGACAACTGCCACTTTGATGTGTGATACAGCCCAAACTTGCTTTTCTGGAAAATATCCCTTTAAGTAAAATTGATCCTTTACTTATTTGAAAAACTGATCCTGTGCCTGCAAACAAAGAATAGTTCTTACAACTTCAATGTGGGTGGAGATTCTGCTCTTCTAAACCACAGATGGAACACCCTCTTTGAATGAGGGCAACAACTAAATGGGTTAGCTCAGCCAGGAGTATAAAACCTGCAGTATTCTCTAATGTATCTACTTGTTTAATTTCAGAGGTGAAAATATCTTTGAATAGAAATTATTTTATATAATACATATTGTCATTTTTAAGCTGAAAACAGAAAAATTATGCCAACCATGAGTAAAATCCAAAATAAAATAGTTCCAGTGTTGAGGTCTCTGATTTTCCCTCCTCATTTCTTTTGTTTGTTGAATAAAGAACTGGGATGCTATTTGAAACCGAAGTCAAGGATGCTTGGTGAAGGCAGGGACTGAATTATCCTGAGAACAGTTAACCAATGTAAAATGATAGTGATTATGAGTTTCCAATAGTTTTCTGGTTAAATAGTACTCCTATATGCCTTCTTGTCTAGCAGCTGTGACATTTCTAATGAGATTGTAGAGTACAAATGGGAAGAAAGACTGGACATATTCTAATTATACTTACCTGTGAGACCCTAGTGGCTTTTCTTGGATTACAGAATTATAGCAAATATTTAATTCACAGAGGTTGTTGCAGTGCTTATTTCAAAAGACATGGGGATGAAAGAGTGTTTGTGAGTGGCCGTGGGCCCCACATATCTGTGCTGGTAGGTCTTGTAAGAACTTTCTACTAGGTTTTCTAAAGGGACACTGCTGGCACATCTTAGGGAGCAAGGCCCTACTGGTGGGGAATCACAATGATGGGCCTGTCCAGGCATCCCTGCAAATACACTGGGAGCTTGTTGGGGAGCATCTGTGGATGAACTAACCAGTTCTTAATTCACAAGCTTCAGGTCTAGGACCAATCAACCATGTCCCCTAAATGTAGAAAAAAAATGAAGTAAAGGCAATACCACAGAAGGTTGAAATTAAAGAGTCAAATCTATTTTACCAGCCAAAAATTACTTAACCTGCTAAAAAAACTTAGAGAGGTACTCTTTTACCATTCCTCCTCCTTCCCAAGTTCTTTCTTCTACGCTGCTCTTTTTGCAGAAATTTTCCAAATGCACTGTTATATAAAACTCACTTCTCCGAAAGAGTGGCCTACATAATTAAACTTTCTATAACATCTTGAAAATCCTTCTCAGGGAAAACTAGGTATTTATTAAGGGCATGTTTTCTCAACATATTGGTAAACTTTGGACCATTCCTTACATTTCTGTGAGTTTTTTTATCTTTATTTTTATTGTTGACACTATTACAGACAGTATTTTCAGACTTTAGAAACAAGCTGTAGGTCTGACAGAGTCAGCCAATCACATCTCAAGACAAATAGAAATTTCTATTTGTAGTTCCTAGTTGCTTGTGTTGAGTAAGCATAGGATTGCTTTCCCCTAAGGGCTTTTTCAGAGTAAGGCAATTAACCAGAACAGTTACCTCATATCAGATCAATAAATAATGGAATAATAATAAAAAACTGTTTAATTTGTACTGTACACAAATTTTACTGTGCATGAAATGATCACAGAACTTTCCAAAATTCAAGCAACTTTGAGATGGATACTTATGTAAATAAAAAGTACATGAAAGTGACTATTGATGCTATATATGTTCCCTTTAATTTTGTATGCAAAACAATCTTCTCTTTGATTCACAATTAATTAGAATTTTGCCATGATAAATAGTTTGGATCTTGAATTGATGAGTGTTTTATTTAATGTGGGCCTTTTATGATAAAGGCATTTGGAAGCTATTTGGGAAATGACATCGTAGAATTGATATCCAAGTGTTGCGCGTGGGTCACCGGCCAGCAGTGACCACGGAACGCTGTGGATGGCTCGACAATACGCGAGAAAAAACACACATGCACAGAGACAAACTAGTTTCTGTGGGGAAGTAGGGACAGAATGGCCACCCCCCCCCCTAGTGGGGAGCGCGCTGATCCACCGTCCATACCTGCTTTTATTAGGCTCATTTTGCATAATAACTCAGGTAACGTACAATACTCATTAGGGGAAGTAAGGAATATAGAAAACAAAGAGCTCTGCCAGTCTATTGAGTTGGGGGGTCAAAGAGCTGTAAGGCTGAGGAACAAACTAGCTTCCTCCTAAGACCCTCCTCATTCAACTGAGAGCATTCTTGAACAAAGAAGGTTTCACAGTAATTTACATGTTCTTTCTTAGGCCTGATCACCCGGGAAATCCGCACTTCCCAGTACCGAGCTGTACTTCCCCGTCATTGTTTCAGGCTTAGGTGGAGCGCAGGAACTAAAGCCACCGAGAGATAAGGAGTTTTTCTTCCGGACGCTGAGAACTCAGACTTTGTCAAAGCCGAGGAGTGAGGGTCCATCACCCCCTTTTGCTGCAGCCCCCCAAGTCCTTCTTTTGGGGGGCCTCCCAAAAGTGATCGTGCCTGGCTTGGGTTGTTCCCCCGTGGGGAATCTTACCCGTCTTTGGCTAACCGACCAAGCTTTTTGGGGGTTCAGTTATGAACAAAGCAGCAGAAACAGCATTCCTGCCAGGAAGATAAGCTTTTGTCTCCTTGCCGGCTCACGGTTCCAAGGGCGTTCCCTTAGCCTTAGCTAGGCGGGGGTCTCAGTTTCTGATACCAGTCAGGGCGGTTCCCAACATCCAAGTATATTACAAACATATTATGAAATTACATTAATAAAAGGAAAATATGAAAGTTAGTTATATATGTAATTTAAATTTAATTTTACCAATTTTATTTTTGTAGAGATAGTAATGAGAAATTCTGAGGTGATTTTAGCCAATTTTTGTGTGGTTGAAACTCCACTGCTCTCTCTTACCAACTTTCTCCTTTAGCTGCTAGCTGAAATGACAAGCCATGCTTAGTACCTCCAACCACACAGCTGTCTCACTCCCGGACCTTCTACATATTCTTTTCCCATTCCCAAAGGAAACTCTTCAAAGAGTTTTTGACTTCCCATACAAAGTGAATTCCACCATTCGCATTGTCTTTCTCTGCCTCACAACCATTTTGGCTCTAGTGCTTGCCACCATAGTGAGTGATAACTTTGTCTAATCTCTCCTCCCCACTAGACTGTCAGTTACAGGATCTCCCTCTCTCTCTTTCTCACCCTCACTCACACTCTATTTTTTCCTACATTTATGTATATTTATATCCCTGTATCTATCACCTATCTTTCTACACCTCTGAAGTTTGACAACACAGACCACTTATTAAAGGAGACTGGTGGGAAAAATCACCTGAGCAGGCTGATCCCCAAGTTTCCCCTAAGCTGTTGTGGGGAGTCCCCTGAATACATAGCAGGGTCTTTAAAAGGAGCTGGGTACTAAAGAAGAGATTTTCCCAAAATATACCCACAATATTCATGGGTGTTAAAACATTTCTTTATAAGACTTTTTAAACCATAATCAAGGGACTAATAAGGTAAATGCCCAAGATTTACTAAGGATAGGATTCTTATATCTTACATGTCATTTATAAACTTGTAAATTAAGATGTGGTATGTGATAAGTAATTAATGTAATGGCAACAATGTCAGTGGGTTGAATAAGGAAGCTTTTTCTCCAGGCCTCAAGTTGCCAACCAAGAAATTCTGTGTAATCCTCTGGAGTCCTTCTCAGTGAGCGCTGGGTCATGGGCACTCAGAGCTGGGTCATGTAAACTGCCCTGTCTGCATAATGACCACAGGGCCAATAGATATCTATCCCTTTCTAAGGGAGCCTAGAGCTCCTGGTAGCATCTGGCACCAATCACGGCCTTCTAAAGCTGTCGCACACTTCCTACCCCAAACTGTCCCAGGTATATATCCTCTCAGACCGTGCCTGACACTGCCTAGGCCCCTGAGGCAATGCTGACCAGAAAAGGGCATGTAGCAATTTGAGTACCTGAAACTTAGGCCCTCCTAACCACACTGTTCCTCTACATTCTTGATCACTCAGAGAAGAGAAAGCTCCCAAACTTGCCTTTCTCCAATAGTCTTACCTGATTACAAAACTTTCTTAGCTTAGATGTTTCTAACCCCTTTTAACTGTTCCCAACAAATTCCTTTACTTTATCTGATTCATCTTTGGACAAAGCTTCTTTATGCTTTTCTCTGAAACCTGTTTCTCCCCCAAAGATACTGCTTTTTCTATAGATGTGCCACAGAAAAGTCTACCTATTTTCTCAAGCCTACTCACTTACCCAGAAGGAAGTTAAAATTCTCTTGACCTTGTATCTCCTTTTCAGTATTGTATTAGCTCTATCTTTTCTTCTCTTTTACCTTATCAGAAAGTGTAGCCATGCTCT